ACCAAATGAAGGGAGTCCCATGGTCTGCTTTCCCTACTTGACTTTAAAACCTTAGAAAGCAACCTGGCAAAGGAGCCAAGTTCAACAGCACAGAACAACATCTGATTTGTAGCTAAGAGGGCTTGCTCTTCTCAAGATACTGCATTTGAAATGAAAAGGTTTCACTGAGCCTCACAAACCTTTTCTTGGACACGTGCCTCTGGTGTCCTTCTCCCGGGTTCCTGTAGAAAGCCCAAGGTTAACATGAAGCCCAGTTGAGTACAAAGCCTAACAGAGTAAGACGGGAATGAAAAAAGAGCTCCAAAAACAAAAGGCAAGCAGGAATGTTTTAACTGGAACTGTGACCGAGTGAAGGATATACAGATCCACGTGCAACATGTTTGGAACAAATTTGGGGTTTCTTACTCGGACAACTTTTTTCTAAACATCAAGGCAATGCCTAAAGAGCCCAGGAGGCTCCATGTGCTGGGAGTGCTGCACATCTCACACAGCAGCATATCAGGAGGTGATTTATCATAAATCATCTGCAGCAAGTGATGAAATACTTCATCTCCAACTGAACTCTCACCCTGCTCACACACTGCAGAGGGAATGAAGCCCAAAGAACCTCTCACCTCCAGCTACATCCAGACCAGCTCCAGAGGCCTTTGACAGATGTATTACTTTTCATTCACAAATTACCCAGTCACAAAGGAGCCTGGAAGTTTGGGGGACTTTGCACTGATAACCTGGAAAAACACAAGTAATCCAGAGGCAAGACTGGCTGTGTCTGAATTCCAATGGCTTAGAATAGCAGTTTTCTAGGATGGTACTTCCTATCCTCAAAGAACACAAGGTGGGTATAAACAAAGATGTAAATATACAGTACTGTGAGAAATGAGCAGCAAGAGAGTCTTGTGTCAACAGCTTCAAAGTCAACCAGGCAAAACCCTCAGCAGGAAAGTCTGACCTCAACAGCCAGACCAGCTGAACCACAAACTCAAACTCCTCCTTGCTGGGACCCAGTTTAAAGCATGAAGGTGAGAGACGGCAGATCCTCTTTACAGGTCTCAAGAGCACAGAGAGAACCCCACCTGTGCCTAAAGCTGGTGTTAGCCCTAAGAGATCCGGGTGATTAAATCACCCCAGGACTGGCTGCACCCAAAGCCTGGCTCCAACAATCCAGGGTCCCTGCACAGCCGAGCAGAGCACCAGCTCCAGCTGCTTTCAAAACACACCAAACTTCTGCAGCAACCCCCTGACTCTGTCTGGGGTTTAGAGTCAGTGGGGCTGAAAAACTCAGTATGTATCACCAGGCTCTGTTTCACCCACCTTGAGATGTTACTTCAACATAAATCACCTTCACACAAGTAGAGGCTGGATCTGCCCTGATTACAGAAGGTGCCCACATATGAACACATCCCTAAGTGTTTGGTCCCAGGTTTTTTACTCTTTAATTTAATCTGATATAATTTTCTATTTCTTTATCATCTTTCATTCTGAGATACTTCAAGATTCACTTAATAGTTGCATTTATTTCAACAATTATTACCAAACAGGAAAAAAGCGCGTTGTTTTTCACTATTTGTGTCTAGAAGTAATGAATAAATAATGTTTGAGAAGAGTGCAGATTGTGTGTATAGTTTAAATGACAGATATTATCAATATCTAATTGAAACATATTTGTAACATATGTAAGATGAAAGCTGAAGGAGTTTCACATCATGTTTTGGATGCATTTTGAGAAAAAATGTACATTTCAGGACAAATTTAAAGTTACTAGGACATTATAGAAGCCATTTCTCACAATTAATGGCCCCACACAAGACCCTTCATAAGCATATCCCTAAATTTGCAAAACACAAAAGCACACAGAATTATGACGGGGCAGAAATACAAAGCTGCCAGGTCAACAACCTAAACTTCACATGGTTATGAAACATTTGGTTCCACTCAGAGCCTCCTCAGGGCCCCTGCTTTAAGCACTCAACAGACATGTTGATACAAAAACATGCAGGATGATGTTTCAGGGGGTCAGGAACACTTCTGAGAGTCCCAGCAACATCCCCCACCACTCACTCAGGATGAGACAGCCCAGGGCAAACGTGGAATCAGGGAATAGTCTGACTCAAGGCTCCGCCATCCAAGACATACCAGGGTGGTCCAAACCCACTCCTCAGCCCTGCAAACCCTCTGCTCCCAGATCCGGGGGCTGGATCACACATTTGACATCAGGCTGAGCAATTCCACTCCTCAATACGGCAGAAAACAAACCTAACAATTTATACCTCGTATACAAGCACCACAGGCAGTCCAAAGGAAGATGTGGAACCATGCAGCAGGAAGTAGAGGCATGGAGGAGAGAGAAATGGGAAGCAGGACTGCGCTCTCTGACTCATTACACCGAGTAATCCCTTTGAGGAGGGACACCCAACAGAGGAGGGAGAAAAGACAAGAGGTCCCTTTGTATCCAACCTTGATCCTGATCTCTGCTCCCCAAATTATTCATCAGCTTTATCCAACAGCTCTTAAAATAAAACACATGAGCAGAACTTGGAGCAGAGCCCTGCACTACTCAGACTTGATTCCGAACTCAGAAGGACTACATTTCTTACAGACTTTTACAGGGTACTTTCACCAAACATTCTGCAAGCATTGCCTGAATTTCCTTTGTCAAATTAGCCATCCTGGACAGGTAGTAGACCCAGGGCAAAGAGAGGGGAAGGTCAGAAACATCCACCACTGATTTCTCCAAGGACTTGGATAAGACATTTTAGTCAAAAGGCAGCATCCTTCATCTTCCAACCCTCCCAACACTCAGCATTTGTGCAGATCAGCTCAGAGCATTCCAACAGCCCCCTTCTTCACTACTCACTATTAGTTTCCCTCACTGCCCTCACACCTCCCAATGCACCTAGGATCTTATTGCCCTCTTAGCTACAGACAAAAATACACAATGACACTTGGGGGTTTGCTGGCCTCTAACACACAACTGCACTGTCCTCACTGAACTGTGTATTTCTAAACCAACACATTCAAAAATCAGCTTCAGACAGGCACACGGAACAGGAAATTTCAAACCAAACAGCTGGGAGGGGTTTGGAGATAAGCAACGGGAAAGTGGATCTCAGGGTGGGAAATGTTGGCCTCTCTCAGAATAGTCAATGCTTCCTGGCTGCCCCAAGGCAGCACCGTGCCCTCATTATGGGCTCTGTAAAACTGATGGACTGCTGCAGCATTCATTTCCTGCTTTCTAAATATTTGGGGTTTGAAGATGAAGAGGCAACGAATCCTATTGTTCTCTGTGGAGAATCATAATTGGGTTTATTATAAAGGACAAGTCAGGCCAGATTTAACACAGCCAGGCCAGCTGAGCCAGAGCACAGCCCTCTCCAAAGGGGCTCTCCTGCTCTCCTGTCATGGCTTCGGATTTGAGGGATATTAAATCTGTCACAACCTTCCTAAAGGAAAGCTGTGCTGTGTGTTCATGGTATTAGAGCTGTGGGGCTTTCTGCATGTGCACAACTATTTGATAACAGTTTAAAGGGCCTTAAGAAAATACAATAAATACTTTGCATGTTATTTATCCAGGCACTCGTGTGCAACCCTGAATGAGACTCCACACTGAGCTCCAGTCACAGCCAGGCTTACCCAGGAGCAGGGATGCATTCCCCAGATGCTACACCTACAGAGGGCCTTTTACCCACACCTCTGCTAGAAATGACAGCAAACCTCCAGTAGGACTGGGAGCGAACTCACACAGCCAGGTGGGATCAGGGAACAGAACCTGCCCAGGGACAAGGCTGCTGAGTCATTGACAGTCTAAGTGCACCCAGATCTCAAGTGTTACATAAAATCTGCCACAAAGTCAGGCACAGTTTACCAAACACATTTTTGTTTGAAGTTCACAAATTAGAAAATTTTGTAAATTAATGTACAAGGCAAGAATAGCTATTTCAAGAGATCACTCCAGAGCTTTTGGAGCTGTTTCATTCTACAGTCTCTCAGAAAAAAAAAAATCTTTCCCTTGCTGAAAATATCAGACAAGTTTATGCCCACCATTTCCTGTGAGCAAAGTTTCCCAGAGCAACAACAGAAACACTTGTTTAGCCTCATCTAAAAAGATCTCAGCACTGTCATTTAGGGTCAGACACACCCTACCCATCCCCTTTCAGAATGTACCAAATATCTGTATTTTGGGGCAAGCGGACAGTTTTCAAATCATGCACATCATGCTCCAACTAGAAGGAGCTGTGAAAGTTCACTGATAACCTGGGTACTCTTTCAATGCCTGTGTGGAAGGTGCATTTTGGAATCTTTGGACAGTCCTCTCCACACTTAATGAACACTTGGAATAAAGGCAACAAGTTCTCTTGAAATCTGGCAGTTGTTACCAAATGAAAACACTGAGTGCTGCAGAGCCAGCCTTGGCTTCCCTTTAAAGACCCTTTTTCCTGGGAAAACCTAATCCTCATTTGAGAGATACAAGTCATGTAGACTCCACCATGACTCCATATACTGGGGACAGGGAAAAGAAAATTAAACCACATTGCCCTTTGTGCCATGGAGGATCTCCCTCTTTAGGAACTAGTGATGAGGAGGACAACAAGTCTGCTCCAAGATGGGAAAGGGAGAGATGGAACATTCAGTTCTCCCTGAACTGGTGAGAGGCAGCCCAATCCATACCTGATCCCAGAAGTAAAGTACTTATTAAAGTAATTATTACTACCCTCTACCATATAGGACCCATTTAAACCACAGCCAGTCTACAGGAGCACCAGCAGGAAAGGCTCAAGCTCAAAGGTGACACTGCCCATCAAGATCTATTTTGTTTGCTATGGGGCTTTAGTTTCCTTTTTTTTGTTTGCATTTCAGTAAACGCTACATTTCTGCCAGGTTGAACACATTATTCCACACTGCAGCATCCAAAGCACAATGAATCACTTAGCAGATGTATTTTTTTTCCACATTTCCCCACGTTTGTTTTACTCCCTGTCCCCTCAGAAGTTCAGTTCTCTTACCTTAACCACCTCTGGGGCCTGCTGAACTGAAGCTGGGACAGAGTCTCTGCAGGCAGGCCCAGCATGGCTTTTTTTCCCTGCAAGGAGGGACTGTGAAGGAGTTGCTAAAGTTTCCTGAAGAATCTGCATCACTTCCCTCTCCTTAGACAAGCTTCCCTTGCCTGTCTGGAATTCCACCAGCTCCTGGGCAAAGTCCTCAATGCTTTCCAGGATCCGCAGTAAAAAGGCTTTGTCGTCCTCTTCCATTTTGTGACCGTTGGTTTCCATGATTTTTGACAGAGAAGAAGGGGGGTCAGCAGGTTTACTTTTGGCCTCCAGAGCCTGAGGTAGAAGCTGCCTCCCCTGCCTGCCCAACACCTGCACGCCCACGGGCTCGCCCTGCTTCTGAGGGGGTTCCGTCAAAGCGCTCTCCATTTTCCGGGAGAAGCACTCCAAATCCAGCAGCAGTTTGTCTATCTCCTCCTTGTCCACCCTACTGCTCGTCTGGGCTCCTTTGGGGACACCAGCCTGGGCCCCGTGCAGAACAGAATCCAGGAGTGGTGTTAAAGGAGTCGCTTCCTTGGGAGTGGGGGACAGCTCGGCGTCTCCCACCTGGGCACGCTCTGCTTTAGCATCAACAGGGACCTCTGAACCAGCAGCTCGCTGGGAGCTGTGCTCCATACTCTCCCAGCCCACTCTGTGCTCTGCCCTCCGCCCTTTCCCTGCTGTTCTGTCCCTATCAGCCTCCTCCTCGATGTACAGCGCCTCAGTGCAGGACGTGCTGTCGGGGGGGCTCGGGGCCGCTGACTGAGGTAGAGCGTCTTTCCCAGCTCTCACGCTGCTCTGGGGGGCACTGGGAGGGGAGGTGGGGGTAAAGGCCACAGTACCTGTTTGGAGGGACTGAGAGGTGCTTGTCGGCTCCCCCTGATCTCCTGGCAGAGCCAGAGGACCTGCACTGGAGGATGGCAGCTGGATAATGTCCTCATAGCGGGGCGGTTGCTCGTCCTCGAACACCGGGGCAAAGGGGCTCTGCTGCAAGCCATGGAAGCAGCTCACCAGCTCTGCCCAGTCACTCGCCTCCCTCTGCCCCGCGGGCTTCAGTTCCAAGGGCAGCTTTTTCAGGTACGAAGAAAACCTTGTCATCAGGTTCATGTATATCATTTCTGAACTGGCCAGGGGGTCACTGCTGTTCCCTCCACCCACGCTGTCCGCAGATTTCCTTTTGATGCAGTGTTTTATTATGTCCGTGCACTTCTTCAGATCCTCTGAGCACTTCAGCAAGATGTCCAAGCACACCTTGATATCCCCACCAGAAGAACCATCTAGCTTGTGTTTTTCCAAAATCTGGGTAATGAAGTTTTCTTCAGAGAAGGCATGAGGGGAGAAGGGAACCGTGGGGCTCACGGTGACTTCTGGAGCATCACTGCCCTCCTGCCACTTCTCCACAGGGGAGGGGCTCTGCAAAAAGCCACACGGAGGGCAGTTCTCATCGTTGTTGAGGTGCCCATAAATCAAGTCAAAGTCAAAGGATCGTCTGCTGAAGGATTCTGACCGAACCTTCCTTCCCTTTCTGTAGGCCACATGATTGGAGGAGTTTCTGAGCTTTTCAAAGGAGAACTCCTTTATTTTACCACTGGCAAGGTTTATTGCCTCACCAGTAATGTCCTTTAAACTGCTGGAGGCTTGCACTGAAGAGCCCTTTTTGATCCTTGGGTTATTTGGGAGGATTTGGTGATAGTCCTCATTTGCAGACAAGCCGAGTCCATTTTCAGGAAGAGGAGTTTTATGGTCCAGGTCGGCATCTTGGACACTGAGCTCTGCACAGACACTGTGGTGGGCAACGATGCAGGTCACCCCGCGCTTGAACACCTGGCAGGTCCCTGTGCAGTGGTGCACAGTGTGCTGGGAGTGCTGGTCTATCACCACGCTGCTGTAGCAGTTCACAGAGCTCACCAGCAGCCTGTAGGTCGCTGCCATAGCACAGACCACGCTGGGAAGTTGTCGGGGTTTCAACCCTAACCATGAACTTCCCAGCAAAAACTCCACCCCCAATTCTCACAGCCACACTAGGCTGGTTGAAAACATTCAAATGTCAATTGGGAACATGCAAACCACGTGATGAGCTACTGCCTTGGGAAGCCCTGGAGAAGTCTAGAGAGGATTTGGAGGTACAGTTACAACAATTAGTGCAACTTGCCTATGGTTTGACTTAAGGCAACTTGATCCTTGTACTCCAAGCAGAATGCCTTTCTCAGCAGAGGTGCAGCACCAGCTGTTCCATTTCCAAGGGTCCAGGTGCCCTCTCCAGCAGGTGCCATAAAATCCAGCCAGTTCTTAGGCACAAGTGACAAGCCAATGGTTTTTGCCCGACCCCTCTTCTCTCTTTTCGGGTGGGTCAGTAAAAGACAGACAATCAAGGAGCAGGTACAGACAAAAAATCCACATATGCCTTTGAGAGTCCCCTCTCACACTGGCATTGCAGGTCCCTGCAACAAGAAACAAAGGTGAGAGTCATTATCATTGCCATGGATTCTGCAGCCTTGTCTGCTGCCAAACGTGTGGCACCAGAGCACACCACCAACACCCGCTGCACCGAGGGAGAGCAGGCTGATATTCTTCCTTCTCTCACATCATCTCCCATATAAGAGCAGTGCTGAGGAGCTGGCCTATATTTATACACAGTCTGTCTATGTGCTGCCATTTTAACAGCTCTATTTTAGCCACTCACTGATTTTTTTCAGGCTTGTTTTTTCCCCTCCCCAGACTGAGCAGAACAGTACCTTTAATTCTAATAGAGCAAAACAGTTTGATCCTGTTGTGAATTCCTGACTCTCGTTTTCCAAGGCTCTAAAGATAAGGCACAGGGCAGTAGAGAAAAGCACTTTCAGGACTTCCAAGCTCTCTGGATTATAAAAAGCTGCAAACAGCCTGCAGCAAAGTAGCTGAATGGTTCTAAGAATGCAGGGCCTTTAGGAAAGGCCACCCTGGCTTCCATTAGTCTTTCACCAAGGTCTTTGAGACCATGGTAAAATATTTTAAAGAGGAATAACTGTTTCCCTTCCTCTTACAACGCATAAATAGCAGCACATTTAATACAATAAGTCCACTGGAGTAGACATTAAGGATAGTAACGTTTGTATAAAGGTTAAGCCTATGAAAAATAGGAATTGAGTGTTTTACACTTAGCACAGCCATTTCCAGCTGCATTTCCTACCACCACAGTCAGAACTGCACCAGAAAGAAAAAGCTGCCTAACTTTGTTATGAAAAGATAGGAAATCTCAGATTTAAGGGTCTTGAATTTTAGACATAGATTCATCTTTCTCTAATGCCTCAAATTAAAACATCCTTGTAAAATTCTGAGCACCCTCTATTCCTGTGCCACCAGAAATCTATTTCATAAGCCACGACTATATCCCAGCTAAGTCACACCCCAGCATGGGTTTATTTTCTTTTTTTCAAAGGTAAATATTTCCCTGTGTGAAAGGCCAGCCTTGCACCTGATGAAAGCACTGTCCTCCCTGCAGTTCCATCCCACCTCCTCTAGCTGTGAGCCTGTACAAACACACCACACAGAAGGGAAGTGCCTGAAGAGCTTGAGGCTCTTCGAATTAACAACTGGCCATAGCACAAGCCTAAACATCCACATTGTAAAGCCTTAATCTGAAATTGAGAAGCACAGATTGTTTGGTGGGTTTGTGATGTGCCATGTCTGCTCATTGCAGCTCTGTCCAAAGGCCCAGGCAAAGGCAAGGACACCTTCCCACTCTGTGCCTTGGCTTCTGTAAAGCACCGAAGCAGTTGATTCAGGATGCAGTAACGGCTCCTAGTGCCACGCTGGGATCTGAACACGCTGCCACCTGCCCACCAAACACTGTGGGTGCTGCTCCTCAGCTCCTCCTGTCCTGTCCTGCTCCCTCTCCACCCACTGGCACTGCCCCAGAGCCCCCCGGCACGGGAGGGCTGAGCAGAGCTATGAGGTGTGTGAGGTGTGCCCTGACTCAGGTGCCAGGCGAGAAAGGGCGGCAGCACAGCTGTTTTCAGCCCCCAGGGTGCTCACACCACCCACACAAACCCAGCCAGAGACTCCACACCCGCCAGTCACTGCTCTCAGGCTTCACCACCACGTGTGCTAAACCCTGTGCTGAACCAGAGCCACAGTTTAAAACAGCACTGTTAGCTCCCCAATGCCTTAATGGGCTTTGTTCAGACAGGAAAACCTGTGCTCCAGGTCTCCAAAAAGTCCAACGATCCCCAGGCTCCCTCCAACACATCCAGGGTAAGAGGTCTGCTGCTTTTTCTTTTCTGAGCATCCATCAGCTACAGACAAGCCTTTTGCATTCCCTGAAATAAATGTTATAGAATATTTAGAGACAGTAGAGGCCTTCAGGAAAGCAGGTTTGATGAAGAATTAATATTGCTTCTGAAAAAGCATGGGACCTCCTCAGGGCTCCTTCCTCCTCTGTGCCATAGAGACTGGTCTTCCTTTTACCAACAAAGAACAGTTTGGGCTTATATCTAATTTGGGAAATAATTACACCTTGATTAAGTTATCCTTAATTAGAGTAATAATGTATCAGACTCACTGTCTCCCTCTCCTGTATCGCTCCAAGGGTTATCTCCCCACACACCCACCCCTTCCACTGGGACTAAGCCAGTTTCTCCAATCCTTTAAGCCACCTTCAAACAATGAAGGGGTATTTTGCATCTGTAAAATTATTTCACAAGTCCTTCAACGAAAAGGTCTCCCAGATTCCCAAACTAAACCCTTTTTTTTAGTTGAAATTTGTGTTCCCAGCTATGCCCAACAATAACGCTCTTACCACCATCCCCACTTCATATCTCCCAAATAATTTCAGGTGTTTGTGCAATGCTTGCTGCACTCTCTAATCCCTTTCCATTTTGCCTGTGTTCCTCTGGTACAATCACAAACCAGCATAATCCAAACACCAACTTGCCAAGGCCAACACAGGATGGCTCCCTCCTGCCTCTGCTGTCGGCACCTTTTACTGCCGTGTCAGAGAATAATCAAACAATCAGAAGCAAAACCCCAACATCCTCTTTTCACCAGTTTAACTGCTGTCTCCTCGGTGGTTATTTACTAATTGTTTTATTGTCACAGTCTGCAGAAACATGCTCAGGTTCTTCCAGGGTTGGAATAGCACAAATCCCCACAGATGGAGAGCAAAACTATTTTTCTTATTTTCCCATTGCCTTGGCCCAGATAGCACAAGCCCAGCTCGCAGTTTTATTTGAGAGGGATACATTTAACACGATCCAGCATGTAAACCTAGTAAGGACAAAACCTCAGAGCATCCCCGTTCCCAGATCTGGGAACCTAGCTGAGCTTGACTGGACTTTTGTTGGGACTTTTCGTGGGTGGCTAAAACCTACTGTTTATGAGTAGAATGAAAAGACAAAATGCACAAAAAAACTTTCCTACTTGGTTCTTTCCAGGCAGGCACTTCATTCCAGTTTGACTCTGGAACAGCCCCCAGTTCAGAAACACTGCAGAAAGGTTCTGTGATTGGGATGGCTGCCACGAAACCAACCCCAGCCCCGAGGCGACAGGGCTGGCTTCAAAACACAAACTGTCAATGAATGGGGCTTCTTGTGGGACCGCAGAATAATGCTTTATATCTGTCCTATATGCAAAATGACATGAATCACTTTGCAAAGGAAAAAATTATTGCAGATAGTAATGATATAAAAGATTATTCTATAAGACACACAAGAAATCCTATTCATGCAAAGATTATGCAGGAGTTCAATAACTGAACAATGACAATCTGTTTGGATGGGGACTGTTAGCCAGTGCTTGACTGACTTGCAAACTGAAGTCTAGAAAAAGCTGCAGGACAGGGCTCTAGTGCCCCTGAATGCCTCAAATTCAGCAAAAGTCTTCTTGAACCCTTATCTGCAGCACTAGCAACAGAAATTAGAAACCACTATAACACCCAGCATGGAGCAAACCAGCCCTTCCTGCACCAGGACATGGCAGAGGATCACTCTGCAGCTGCTCATGTCCGTGGAAGATCAATCTCCAGCTGGGTTCTCCTGCAAAAGGAAACAAAGACAAAACAGGTTTGCCTCTTGGACAGTCCCCAGCACACTTTCAGAAGTGTCACTCTACCTCTGTAATCAGGTGTCAGGTATTACCCTCCTAGAGGATCTCAGGGTGCCAAAAAGCAAATTTTAAGTACATCCTCTTATTTAGGAATGTTTGATTTTTGTTTAGAGTTTACTGAACAAAGCAGATTTGGGAGCAAACTATATTGATTACAGAAGACAAACGTGGGCAAATAACAAAGCAATGCTTGCTTTCAAATTAATTTTTATGACAAATCCACTTCTGCCAAATTAAGCAGAAGTTTTACAACCAGCCATTTAATAAATGATTTTGTAAATCAGTTCCTTTAACGGGGTTCAAATTGCTATCACTTGCACAATTAATTACCTTCCAAAATGAACAGGAGACTAAAAAGAATAACATTTCTCCCTACACTGAAGAAGTTCAGAGAGAAAAAAATCTAACCATCTGAGTTGCTCCTCTGTTCTGTATTTCTTACATATTTACATACTTTGATGTCCTCAGTGGCAGCAGAACTTTTTTGTACATGGGACTTGGGTGGGAGCTGCAGCTGTGCTAACTTTACAGCCCTCATGACCAGCAGAAATTTGATGCACATGCCTACATTTCAGGTACAGGAAAACAAACCATTCACAATTACACCTGTACAGTTCTGGGATCAGGGGGGCTTATACCACTGACACTGCTGAGGCAACCAGAATTCAGTTCCAAGGGGTTTTAGCTCCATTCTATGCTTCAGAGACTGCAACTAACTGGGATGGCTACAAATCCTGCCTTGCCTCCTAACCCAGGTCAGAGGATGTGACCTGCTCAGACTGAGCACTCCTGTTTGAACCAGAGGAGCTCCTTCATATCCTCAAGTGCTTTAGTATTTATTTACATGCACCCTAGAAAAGGGGTCATTATTTCCCATTTGAGTATGTTGCACACCAGGTTCCAGCAAACAGCTATCCCATTTTCTTGTCCTAAATTAAAAGGGCTTTCAGGAAAACAAATTTCCTCACCTACAAGTACTGACACACTATAATCAAATCACCTCTTAGCCTTTAACAGAACTGCCAGGGAGAGTCTGGAAGAGACATATCTCCAGAGCCTTTGCTATAAGTTATTTTCTGAGTTCTGTATGTAATTTGCTCCTGTTCTAACAAAAAACATAGAAGGGGTGGGATTCCTCTCCCTCACCCACCCAACAGTGAAGTGTTCGGTGCTGTGTGTAGGCAATGAAGAGAGGCAGGCACCTCAAAAATCAACCTACAGAACTTAAAAACCAATCTCATTTTGAGATGACCAGTTATATCAGGTGAATCCCATGCCTCAGGATGACACAAGAACACAGGAAAAACTGTATCTGCCTCTGACAGTGGCTAAATACCAATGTTCAAGGAATGGTATTAGA